TTTTATATACATGGGCATATAAACAAGTTTTATATACATGGGTAAACTGTATGTGACCAGTTGGCAGATCTTAAAGCTAAATGTATTGGTTCATGTTTTTCCAATATAATCAACATAATTATCCCTCAGAAATTGAAATTGATTGTTATCCTTTAAATTAAAGCTGTTGGCACAAAGAAAAAGGGATCTGTGTAAAGGATGGATTTAACTTTGTGCTTACCGTTCTGTGGGTAATGAGAATCACTTCGTCCAGATAGTAGGTATATACTTTAAATATTTATTGATTTCTCTCTGAGCTAGTGAGTCATTGACCCTGAAGCTGGAGTGAGGTCGGTTTGCTCTGCACCATGGAGAACTTAATTATCCCCATGGTAACACAGAGCCTCCTGCTTACCACCTCTTCCCACATCTTTGTGATATTTAAAGCAGGAAACCATTATTTACTTCATATTTGATATTCTGATATGTTTTTCAGGGCACAATTTCCTAACCTCAGCCATTCCTGTGTATAAAACATTGCCATAGCAACAATAAAAAATAGTGATTATAAGTAATACCTTATGAAATGAAAAATGATCTGCCAATTCTACAGCATTTTAGGATTCAAACTTTTCCACTGAATTTTGCATCACAATTGTCAAGATGTTGAAACTAAAACATACTTAACTAACAGGCTAACAGATGATTCTTATATATTTTGAAAAGGCAACTACTAATACTAAGTAACATATGTTTAAATTTAGAAAATTTTTGCTTATCAAAAAAATAAGTCCTGTCCATTGATGTAAAGTTAGAAAATAGGCCAGGCACAGTGGCTCATGCCTGTAATCCTAGCACTTTGGGAGGCTAAGGTGGGAGGATCACTTGAGGCCAGGAGTTCGAGACTAGCCTGAGCAAGAACGAGATCCTGTCACTACAAAAAAATAGAAAAGTTAGCTGGGCATGGTGGTGTGCACCTGTAGTCCCAGCTACTTGAGAGGCTGAGGCAGGAGGATCGCTTGAGCCCAGGAGTTTAGGTTGCAGTGAGCTATGATGACGGCACTGCACTCTAGTCTGGGAGACAGAGTGAGACTTGGTCTCAAAAAAAAAAAAAAAAAGAAAGAAAGAAAGAAAAAGAAAAGAAAAGAAAAGAAAAGAAAGACAGGCAAAAGAACATTTAACAATCCAGTAATCTCCCTTCCCCATGGTTTACTATGTCTTTCCGGTACCTTTTCAGTATGTGTATACGTGGGGCTGGGGGTGGTGTCGTGGGGTGTAAGAAGAGAGGGAGAGAGAGGCCGCTCCCACAGTACATTTTGTTCTGTATTCTGATTTTTTTTTACTTAACAATATATTGTGAACATCTTTTTAAATATATTAACTATGGTGTCATTTTTATTGGTCGAATATCGTGGATGTTCTATTGAATGAATTTACTATACTTTAGTTAAGCAGTCTTTTTGTTGGACATTTTAATCTTTTCCATTTTTCACCAATATCAAACATAAACCAAAAAAGATAAGGAAAGAAAGAGAGAGAAAGGGGCAGGGAGGAAAGACACTAAAATGAACATCTTGTGACACACATCATTGTTTCCTTAACATATATTTCCTTAGCATTATTTTGAAGTGGAATTGCTGGTAAAGGTATGCACTTTTCAGATATTTTGTCAAAGAGCTCTCCAGAACAGATGTAGTACCTTCTCTAATCCTGGATATTATCTTTTAAAATAATCCTTAACAATTCGAAAGGCAAAAATGGTATTTTAATATTACTTTGATTTGTACTTTTTGATTATTGATGAAAACAAAATAAAATTATCTTTATTGATCCTTTTTATTCTTTTCTGATTTACTGGTAGAAGTCCTTTGCCCATTTTTCTACTTGGCTATTTATCTTTTCCTTATTGATTTGTAAGACTTCTTAACTCTTAGTCCCTTTGTATTCCCCCTTTCCATTTGGCATTTGCTGTTTTTTAGTGATTTCTGGAGAAGTTTTTAGTTTATGCATTTGAAAATCAATCTTTGTTTTATGTTCATGTAATATAATCCCCACTCACAAGATTATATAAATTTTTTTCTATATTTTCTTCTCATAAGTCTATGGTTTAATCTTTATATTAAAATCTTTAATCCACCAGAAACTTATTTTGGCACATGGTATATTTTCCCCCTCCAAACAATTGGCCAATGGCCCCTTCATTTATTGTGTAATTTATACTTTCCTCACTAGTTATGCATGCTGCTTTTTTTTTTTTTAAAGAGATGGGGTCTTGCTAGGTTTCCCAGGCTGACCTTGAACTCCTGGTCTCAGTGATCTTCCTACCTCATCTTCCTGAGTAGCTAGGACTACAGGCACATGTTATTACACCCAGTTTGAATGCCACTTTTATTATTTATCTACTTGGGCCTTAATAACATTGAATTTTAATGTGAAAATATAAAGATGCCCCACAGATCTAACCATTTTCCTTTTATGCTAGTTGCTTGGGACCTTGTCTAGAGTCGTTTTCTATCAGCAATTGTGTGAGGGTGAAGAGGTGTCATTTCAGATGCCAGAAAGATATTGAATGAATCTCTGGCTTTTTTTAAAATCAGAAAATGTTATAAATATTTTATAACAGTATCATTGCTAATGTAGACTTGTGAGATATTCTAATCTAAGTTTTTTATTGCTATACATCTGGGCTGTAATGTCATATATTTTATGACCATATTTTGCTCATTGAATCAATAAAATATTCTTAACTAGTTATGGGTGATATATGCATAGATGTATGCATTTATCATCATTCAGAAGCTAAATATTGTTTATAAATTTAAAATGCTCAACAAATTTTATATACATGGGTAAACTATATGTGACCAGTTGGCAGATCTTAAAGCTAAATGTATTGGTTCATGTTTTTCCAATATAATCAACATAATTATACCTCAGAAATTGAAATTGATTGTTATCCTTTAAATTAAAGCTGCTGGCACAAAGAAAAAGGGATCTATGTAAAGGATGGATATAACTTTGTGCTTAAGTTGTCCCTTTCTTCCAAACAATAAAAATTATACAGATAATATTTTGGATCTAAATCTAAACAAGAGGCCTACTTTTAGCTTTAGTAAAAGTGATAGGTTTGATGGTGAATGCTGTCAACTGGGATTTATTTGGGAACAATGACTTTCTCAACCACTTTGCTTGTAATTTAGCCACAATTAAGACATTTACCATTATGTGCTCCTGAAAATACTATAATGGGTCAGTTAATCAACATACTATCTCATTGTGGTAAATATTGGCCTTAATCATGACAATGATTTAGGTCAAATTACATAACCAAGCTTATAAGGGTAAATCTGCAGAATTTTATATTAGGTCATTCCAAGGATTGATATATGTAACTCACTTTTCTTCCCCTACATACATTCCATTAAGACACTTTCAGACATATTTTGGTGTATTTGATAGATATTAAAAATAATACTTGCTATCAAATACCAGGATTAAATCCTATGTGTGAGCCTGACTGAAAAAAGAGCCACATTGTGATTACTGAGAAAATGGTCTGCAAATTACTCAGGCAGAATCTCTAAAGCCTGTTCTTTTCCCAGTGCTCATTTACAGGGAAGAAAACAAGCCAGGCAGCAGGGGGATTTAGCCTGAAAAGAGGCTTATTTTTCCCTCCTGAGAGACAAATTTGATTTTATCTCTTGCCTCATATTACAAAATGTGGCTGTTCTCCAAATTAGCATTTGAGGATAATTTTGAAAAATGTTCTCACTGCTTTCCCCTTAATCATGCTCTCTATAGTGTATTCAGAATATCTCCACGATCTCTCATGGATCATTTCTCATTTCACCTACTCTAACTTCCTGTTCTGTGACAAGAATCTCTTGATCAAGTCCCTCCACTTTTCCTGTAAAATCCAAACATTATGTGCTAGGCTTAAGAAAACAAGGTGACATTCTTTCTCTTAGGAGTTTTCCTGATTTCACTCCTGTTCCTTGTCTTGCTTCCTTTTGGCTTTTCCAGGCTTGTTTTCTTTCCTGATCTGTCCTCTTTAGTTCACAATTGTCATTATGTTCCCATGTGTCAGTCTTGGTGTTCATAACCCATGGCAAGGAGGCAGATGTATGGACTATACACACTGACACCTTCATTTTATGGCTTCGTTCAGATCCTTCTTATCAGAAGATCCATGAACACAGGAATTATGTCTCCTCTATTTGCAGTGCCTACCACAGAATTCTCAATAAAATTTTATTGAATTAATAATAGCTGCCACCATTTTTATAAATCTACTTATTAAATGATAGTCATCGTGCCATGCACAAAGGGTATGTCTATTTTATAGATGAAAAGACTGAATTTAGAAAAATTAAGTAACTTGTTCTTGGTCACAAGGCTAGTAAAAGTTGAAGAACCAAGACATGACTTAATCCCAGGTATGGAAGGCCTATGTTCAATCTCCACACTAACAGTGCAGAAGGCAGCATAACATAACTATGAAGAAATGTCCGGGAGCCAGACAGCATGGGTTTAAATTCCAGCTTTGCCACATAAGACTTACTCTAAGCTCTCTATGCTTCAGTGTCATGATCTGTAAATTAGAGACCATTTACTGGACAAATAACCATTGATTTCCAGTCATTCCACTTCCATGGGAAAGTTTTTCTCCACATTTGATGCTGATGATCACTAAGGGCTTAGACTTCTATAAACAAAGGCTTAAATCACCCTAGTAGGCAAAGGCCCCAATCAGATATTAGTTGCAAGCAGGGAAATTTGGAATGGGTAGTCATAGATACCAGTTATGGCCTCATTAAGAGTAGTGGGAATGAGTAGTCTGCACATATTACTGGAATATCTGAAGACTGAAAAATTGCACTATTTTTTTTCCTTTTTAACCTAAGAACTACCACTGTTTTCTTCTCCTTTCTTTTTGTAGCAATTATTGCCACTCCTGGTCCCACTAATTATTTATAAAGTGCACTGGTAGTAATTATTACAATTTAGTCCATGGATTGCAGGATTATGAAGAGCCACAGCTAGATAAGAATGTGCCAGAACTAGAAGAAGAATGGGCATTTTACTTCCAGAGATCAGGATCAGAAGAACAATAACCTCAAGATGTTCCTTCTACCAGCTGGATGTGCCTTTGGGCTTAGCAAGAAGGTAAGTGCAGGAGTTGTACTAGAATGGCTGGATCAAAGAGGTTGGAGGCATTTTTGTCATTGTATGTATGGGGAAAGGCAACCAAGTAATAAGACACAACAGATACCTCTTAGGTCAGCCACACAGCTCACAGTGACACCTCCCTCTCCAGCATACGGGTGGAAGAGTAGAAAATATCTACAAGTATCACTTGCACACTAGTCATGGCTGAATGACATGGGGTAGAAATATGACCCAAACTAGCCAAACAGGCTTGCTTTCCTGGGAAATTGGAATTTTGGAATGAGACAGCTAGAGATGGGGAGTTGTTTACAGCCCACCAGGAGGATGGTTTATGGATTCCTACTACTGAGTTCCACAGTTTCCCTGGTTATTTAAAAAAAAATTTAAAGAAAAATCAAAAGTAAAATCACCAATAATCTCTTTATTCCAGCATACCTACGTTAATTTTTGCATTTCTATTGAGCCTTATCCAAGTACATATGTAGTTTCACGTATTCTAATAACAAAAATGTTGTATTTTGCTTTAATATTAGAGGAAAAATACCATATTCCTGCATAATCTTCAGAAGTATTTTAATGGTTACCTAATAATTTTCAAATAGATTTACTATAATTAATAATTTCAGCAATTTCCAAGATTATGTGAGATACCCCAGTATTCTTTTACTAAAGTCAGCTTAACTAGCCAGAGTTGCTATTAATATTTGCAACCAGATCCTTAACTACTACACTTCCCTGAATAGCTTTCTCCCATACTACTTCTTCATATGTTCCTTTCCTTACCTTACACCCTCCACCAAAATATCCAAATATCAAAAAAATTGGGCAATTTACCAAGAACGCCATGATGTCTAGACTCATTGAGCTTTTGCTGTTCCCCGGCAGGAAATTCCCTTCCTCTTCTTCCTGAAACCTTGCTCAAGGATACCTCTTCTAAAATATCTTCCATTGTCACCCCATACTTAACTGCTTTGATTTGGAAGGTCTTCCACTGTGCCCATAGAGCCTGTCACTCCACAATCATGGCACTTATACTGCACTGTGTAATCCTTGATTTACTTGGCTGTCTCTCTCATTAAAAGGCAAGCTCCTGGATAGTAAAGGCAATTTCCCATTTGACTTTATTTCTCCAGTTCTTTATTACAGTGCCTAGCACATAGGAGATCCATTACGTAAATGGATAAATGAGTAAACAGTTTCTGATTCATCATGAGAACATGCCCAAGCTTACCTGCTGGAAGATTGTGAGAGACAATGGAAAAAGGCCAATGCCTTTCTAGATCTGATGACAGTGAGCTGGTCCTCAAACATGTGGAAATCCAGCCAAAATCAGCGTAGTCACCTACCCAACCCACAGCTGACTCAGAAAATAATTCCAGAAGAGCTGCCCAACTAATGCATAGACTTCTAACAGGGTTATTGTTTTAATCCACTGACCTTTGGAGTGGCTGGCTTCTTGGGCAGCATTTTTGTGGCAATAAATATCTGGTACAATATCTGTGGGTTAGATTTTTATCTGAGGATCACCAACTTGAGAGCTTTGCTAGATAAAGAGTTTAAATCCAAGGATTGCTTTTTTTTTTGAGACAAGGTCTTGCTCTGTCACCTGGGCTAGAGTGCGGTGTTGTCATCATAGCTCACTGTAAACTCCAATTCCTGGGCTCAAGTGATCCTCCTGCCTCAGCCTCCTAAATAGCTGGAACCAAAGGCACATGCCACCACACCCAGCTAATTTTTCTATTTTTTGTAGGGACAGGGTCTCACTCTTGCTCAGGCTGATCTTGAACTCCTGGCCTTAAGCAATCCTCTTGCCTTGGCCTCTCAAAAGTGCTAGGATTACAGGTGTGAGCCACCACACTTGGCCCAAGGATTGCTTTTAAAAGTCTCACTGTGAATGTGAAGAATGAATATATTTATAAATCAGTAGAAATAATATTGTTATTATTTGATACTTGTTAATATTTTAGATTAGTATAAGACATTTTAAAAAATTAGGTTAATTTAAAATTTAAAAAAAAATTTAAGGAAAAATCAAAAGTAAAATCACCAATAATCTCTTT